TGGACATGTTGTAGGGAGGGACCTCTCCTTGGAGAGGGACATCATGCTTGGTAGGGTGGAGGGACAGCGCAGGAGAGGAAGGCCTTCTATGAGGTGGATTGATTCAGTGAGTGGGTCAGTTGGGATGGCTGTGTCAGAGATAGTGCGATTGGCACAGGACAGAGCAAAGCTTAGGGCTGTTGTACATAGGGTCGCTATGAGTCGCAAGCAACTCGAGGGCACATAACAGCAATTACCTAACTTGGGAGGGTTTGGAAAGCATTATGCTGAGTGAAGTAACTCAGTCCCACATGGATAACTATTGTATAAAATCATCTTTGTAGAATGAATATAAGGATCCAGGAGGGGTGGGAGAGGGTGGAAGCAGAAGGATGAGGATGTACAGGGGGAGAGGGTATTAATCATGCGGTTATACAATTTGATGGGAGGGGGTGAGGGAAATGGAAATAATCTGTTCTCAAAAACAATGTATTCAAATTTTGTAAATAAACTAGTATAAAATTTAAAAAATAAAGAGAACTTTCACAGAAAAATATACTGCCTGTGTATTTCTGAAAATATCAAACTCGCTGCCATGGAGTTGGAACTGACTCATATAGCTGACATTCCAGGGAGTTTTTGAAGTTGCACATTGTGTGGGAGGAAATTGCCAATCATTTCCCCCTTGGAGCTGCTGGTGGATTTGAACTGCCAGAGATGCACAGGTTGGGTTAGCAGTGAAACTCCCTAAAACCTATGCCAGTAGATCCACCTTCTGAAAAATAAAACAAAAACCAAATCCAAAACAAACAAAAAGCCAGCCAATTGAAATCAATGGAGCACAAGTCTACTCTTGCTATAGAGGGGATTGGTATTCATCAAAATCAGCTCAACAACAACTGGAAGGGTAGTCAAGAAGAGACAGAAATTAGAAGAATATGTTCTATCAGCGAGGAGAATGAAAGAATTTATCTGCAGTTTGAAAAATAAACAATTTGCAATCTGTGCTGCAGATACCTACTATGATATATTGAATTAGTTTTCTATAGTGGAGATTGTTGATTGCGCGCGCGCGCGCGCGCGTGCGCGCGCGCACACACACACACACACACACACACACACACACATTACTGCTGTCAAGTCATTTCTGACTCAGAGCGACCCTTCGTCAGGTTTCTGAGGCTATAAACCTTACAGGAAATGGTTCACCTTTTCCTACGGAGCAACTGGTGGATTCAGACCACTTGCTTTTTTATTAGCAGCACAACATGGAATACAATATGTCCTCGGAGCTGTATAGATTCTTTTCTTCATACTTACTAACAGAATCTCATGCTTTATCTGGGACAAGAATTTCACTTGGCTAAAATATTAGAGTTCTCAGCCTTCCTTGAAGATTGGCCATTGCTGGGGCGTCAGAAATACTCTTTTATAGGCTTGGTGTTTTAAAAGCAGTTTTAAGTTTACAGGAAAATTCTGCAGGAAGTACAAGGAGTTCCTGTAGATCCATCCCCACCCACCCCCTGCTCCCACACACTGTCTCTCCTATTATGAGCATTGTGCTTTTATGTCCAAGGACTTTTCAGAATATATGGGGCTTCAATTATCCCCCTGTCCTTTTGCTGTACTGTGGTGGCTTGCTATTGCCAGGATCCTAGCAGCTATTCTACTTGTATCTCAAACACTAGAAGGCATGCTTGGTGGATGGGATTGACATGGTTTATAGATTAGGTCAAGCCTGGCAATCTACTTCTGAGAATTAGCCATTGAGAACCCTAAAGATCATCTACAGTGTCAAAAAATGAGCTTCTGGGGTGGAAGATGCTCAGAATACACTTTGGCCACACAGTAGAGTGGAGCAAACAAACAATTGTAAAGATTGACACAGCACAGGGCAATGCTTCATTCTGTCATGTAGGAGTCAACGAAAGAGCCAGTAGCAACAACAACATAGTATCTCTGTCAATAAATGTTAGAGATTTTTCTAAAGCAAAGTCTGGAATGTGCCAGACTTTATACTTCTACCTCTTCTTGAAGAACATAAGTGATTTCTCATGCCCCTCAAGTTCTTTGTGAAATAATCATCCTGTGTTGGTGGGTGGGACAATCCCTAAGATTAATTTGCTGCTAAATCATCAGCCTATGATTCATCTGTGTGTGCAGTAATCCTCATTTCTGTTTTCTGGAGAGTTTGCCTCCACTCGTGTCTTTGCTCTTCTTTAAGAGAAAGGCATTGACCTCTGCCTTGGAAATGCAGTTTGTGAAAAGCCTGAGGTTTATGAGATAATGAAAGTAGATATTAGCGTCATCAGTGAGAGAAAGCAAGATGCCATCTCATCCTTTGTAATGCTGCTTTCTCAGATAGTTTCTCAGCCACCCACCTTCCCTCCACTGACTCCTCTACACTGCTCACAGAGATTTCCCTTTGTTCCATGGAAAACATGGAGGCCGGGGATACCAGGCCTTGGAAACGCATGCAGGAAACATTTCCACTCAGAAGTGCACAGTGTGCTTTAAATCAACATTAAAAGTCATTGTTAACTTATATTATTATGAAGTGAATCCATACTCATGAATAAAAAAATGAAAAGGAAAAGTCCCACAATATCATCTGTGTTTTCCAGAAACATCTATACCTAAGTTTTCATTATTTTTTGAGGAATTCATAAACATATAAAAGTACATAATGAGTGTTCCAGAGGCAAGTCTATCCTATATTATGTATTTGTCTTTATTTACCAGCATATCATGGACATCTTTCCAAGTCATTGCCTAGAGATTGCCTTTTCTTTTTAGTAAAACAAACAAACAAAAAACAATTGCCATAGAGTTAAGTCCAACCCATGGTGGCCTGATGCATGTTATGCTCTATGGAGTCTTCAATCCTCCACAACGAGGAGCTGTCCTGATCAGCCAAAAAACCTTGCCATTCTGTGATGGTTCAAATCCACCAGGAGCTCTGTGTGAGAAAGATGGGCAATCTCCTCCCAAGCAATTTATAACTTTCAAAACCCATGGAGGGTCAGCTATGAGTCACTTCTGACTCAATAACAATGAAAGGAAGAAAGACTTTTTGAAAGTATACCACCAAGCCTTTTTCCTGAGGCACCTCTGTGAAGTAAGAGTCTTCAAAATTTTTATTGCTAGCCCAAAACGTTAGTCATTTGTATTGCCCGGGGACTCTTTAAAAAAAAACAAAAAACAAAAAACAAAAAAAAAAACCCACAAAAAACAACAAGAAAAACAAAAAACAAAAAAAACCCAAACCTTTTTTTTTTTCATTGTTGCACATTTTCTCCCCTTTTCCCCATTCCCCTTTCCCAGCCCTCCCTGTAAATCACCCCTTGTTCCAGATTGTTGTCATACATACAATGCCTAATCATATATTACTTTTGGACAGATCTTCCCCTCATCTGATCTAATACAGTGTTCATTATCTATTCACTTTTCTCCCATTTTCTACCCCTACCCCATGTCTGTCCTATTTTATATTAGTGGTGTTATGCAGTATTTATCCTTTTGTGACTTAGATATTTCACTCAGCATAATGTCCTCCAGCCTACCTCATGTTAGGTAATATTTTAGGAGTTCATTGGTTTTTCAATACTGCATAGCATTCAATTGTGTGAATGTACCATCGTTTTTCTATCTATTCATTTGTTGACGGGCAGTTGGATTTCTTAAGTCTCTTTGCTATTCTGAATAACATAGTAATAAACATAGGTTTGAATACTTCTGCTTGAGTTGTGGCCCCAGTTTCTTTAGGGTATATTCCTGTGTAATTGCTGGGTCAAAAGTATTTCTATTTCCACCTTTCTGGGAAAGAGCTTTCTATAGTGGCTGTACCATTTTATATTCCCACTAGCAGTGGATAAGAATTTCAATCTCTCCACAACCTTGCCAGCATTTGTTGTTTTCTGTCCTATTGAACCTTGATATTATTGCTGGGGCGAGATTATTTATCATTGTTGTTTTGGGGGGACTCATCCTTTTAAATAATTGCACAACATCTAGTGTATGACATCGTACTGCCGCCAATGAGATGTATTGACACAGTGACTGCAGCGATGGGCTCAGATATATCAGAGATGATAAGGATGGCACAGGATAGGACAAGATTTGGGTCTGTTGCTCATAGGACCGCTATGACTCATATCAACTTGATAACACCTAACAATAACAACAGATTATGAACTTCCATTGATTACGACCCATTGGTGAGAATTTATATTGTCTTCAGTTTGTTTTCAATTTGCAGAGTTATTTGCCAAATGCTTGACCAAGTTTTCCTTCAAATACTTTCAATAAAAATGGATATAATAGACAGAATGCAAAGGTAATTCATTCTATAAAACATAATGCATATGAATAATTGTATAAAACACAAGATATATGGATGAAATATAATGTATATTAATTATATAAAACATTTGAGCAGTCTAGAATGCTGTACAGATGAAGTACACATTCAAAACATGATGTATATGAATGATTACATGGAAGGTAACAAAAAATTTAGTTAAAAATTAGATAATGGAGTTAATAGCAAATACAAAAGTTAAACAGGTTAATAAAAGTATCTTTCACTAAAATAACAATGAAAGAAAAAAGCAGTAAGAAAATTAAATGCAACTAAAAATAAAATAGTATTATTGGAATTTCTAATATATAAAAATTTTCTAGCCTCATTGCCCAAGAGATTTAATTTCAAATATTCTCAAAGAGATTTAATATTTGTGCATTCAATGAACAAAAAAAAATAAAGTAGATAATAAATTATATTGCCAATGTTTTGGGAAGACACACTCAAACATTCACCAAAAATGAGTGTTAGTTTATTTTTACAAGGCACTTTGGCAGAATCTACTAACATTTTAAGTTACCATAGTCTTTGACTCCTAATCCAGTCCTAGGTGCTCTTTCTTAAGTATACAAAAATAGATGTACACTTTTTTGCTACGGGTTTGTCGCCAGAGTACAGCTTAGGTGTTGGTGAATACCATCGCAAAACCTAAGCCAAAATGGGGAAGGAGAAGACCCATATCAACATCGTCGTCATTGGACACGTAGATTCGGGCAAGTCCACCACTACTGGCCATCTGATCTACAAATATGGTGGGATCGACAAGAGAACCATTGAAAAATTTGAGAAGGAAGCTCAGGAGATGGGAAAGGGTTCCTTCAAATATGCGTGGGTCTTGGATAACCTGAAAGCTGAACGTGAGTATCACCATTGATATCTCCTTGTGGAAATTTGAGACCAGCAAGTACTATGTGACCATCATTGATGCCTCAGGACACAGAGACTTTATCAAAAACATGATTATAGGAACATCACAGGCTGATTGTGCTGTCCTGATTGTTGCTGCTGGTGTTGGTGAATTTGAGGCTGGTATTTCAAAGAATGGGCAGACCCGTGAGCATGCCCTTCTGGCTTACACACTGGGTGTGAAGCAGCTGATTGTTGGTGTTAACAAAATGGATTCCACCGAGCCACCCTACAGCCAGAAGAGATATGAGGAAATCGTTAAGGAAGTTAGCACCTACATCAAGAAAATCGGCTACAACCCTGACACAGTAGCCTTTGTGCCAGTTTCTGGTTGGAATGGTGACAACATGCTGGAGCCAAGTGCTAATATGCCTTGGTTTAAGGGATGGAAAGTCACCCAGAAAGATGCCAGTGCCAGTGGGACTACACTGTTTGAAGCTTTGGATTGCATCCTGCCACCAACTCGTCCAACTGATAATCCCCTATGTCTGCCTCTCCAGGATGTCTACAAGATTGGTGGTATTGGTACTGTCCCTGTGGGCAGAGTGGAGACTGGTGTTCTCAAGCCTGGCATGGTGGTCACATTTGCCCCAGTCAACGTTACCACTGAAGTAAAGTCTGTTGAAATGCACCATGAAGCTTTGAGTGAAGCTCTGCCTGGTGTCTGACAGTGTTGGCTTCAATGTTAAGAACGTCTCTGTGAAAGATGTTGGACGTGGCAACGTGGCTGGTGACAGCAAAAATGACCCACCCATGGAAGCAGCTGGCTTCACTGCTCAGGTGATCATCTTAAACCATCCTGGCCAAATCAGTGCTGGTTATGCACCTGTGCTGTATTGTCACACAGCTCACACTGCTTGCAAGTTTGCTGAGCTCAAAGAGAAGATTGATCGCCATTCTGGTAAGAGGCTGGAAGCTGGCCCCAAATTCCTGAAGTCTGGTGATGCTGCCATTGTAGATATGGTTCCTGGCAAGCCCATGTGTGTGGAGAGCTTCTCTGACTATCCTTCTCTGGGTCGTTTTGCTGTCCGAGACATGAGGCAGACTGTTGCTGTGGGTATCATCAAAGCAGTGGACAAGAAAGCTGCTGGAGCTGGCAAGGTCACCAAGTCTGCTCAGAAAGCTCAGAAGGCTAAATGAATATTACCCATAACACCTGCCACCCCAGTCTTAATCAGTGGTGGAAGAACAGTCTCAGAACTGTTTGTCTCAATTGGCCATTTAAGTTTAATAGTAAAAGACTGGTTAATGATAACAATGCATCGTAAAACCTTCAGAAGGAAAGGAATGTTTTGTGGACCATTTGTTTTCTTTTTCATGTGGCAGTTTTAAGTTATTAGTTTTGAAAATCAGTACTTTTTAAATGGAAACAACTTGACCAAATATTTGTCACAGAATTTTGAGACCCATTAAAACAAGTTTAATGAGAGAAAAAAAATAGATGTACAATATGCGTATTTGAGTTTATAGTTGGAAGAGTTGTCATTGCTTCATCTGTAACAGAGGAGATAACAATACATTGTTGGGTGGTTTAGTGAAGGTTAGATATCTAGTATTCTAAAGTCTTGGAATAGTGCCTGAACAAAGTCAGTGTTCAGTAAATGGTTATTGTTATGATTCTCAGGAAGTCGAATTCCTTTTCAGCCTAGCTAGATCCAAGCTGGATGTCTTCCTTATGACACTGGACTGATGGAGAAGGGTGTTCATATCATACAAAACCCCTCTTATCCTTCTGGGTAACTCTCACTCCAATTGTTCAGCTTGATTTAACTTCCAGTGACACCATGATATTTCTGGACTGCTCAAATATTTAATAAGAGTATGGCAGTTAAAAATTAGTCTTCTTGTTTGAAGAATCTTTTGTGTCAAATAGCTGTGCATGTTAAAAGAGATTTCCTTTTGCTACAATGTCTATGACTGCTCAGGAGTGGAAGACAAGGCAAAAAAATGAATAGTTGTTGAGCACACTCTGCTAGGAGCTAGAAAAGATATTACTATATTACAATATTTAACTTCATGAAAGCTCTGTAGGTAACAAAATCTATTTGCAGATGAGGAAATCACAGCTGTGATTGGCTATATAAATTTTAAAAGTCACACAGCACGCACTAGTTGAAGAGTTGGGCGTTGAATCTAGATTTTGATGATTCTGAAGGTTTGTTGTTGTTATGTGCCATTAAATCCACTACAACTCATAGTGACCCTATGAACAATGACTCTGAACCTTTCACCATCCCAAGCTAACCACATTGTCTCTGACATACTGGACCCCATTGCAGCAACCACTATTTTACTCCATCTCAATCCATCTTCCTCTTCTGCTCATCTTTCTCTCTGCCTTTCCAAGCATGATGACCTTCTCCAAAGACTGTTCTCTCCTGGCACCATGCCCAAAGTATGTATGACAGAGCTTCAAAATCCTTGCCTCCAAGGAGCAATCCGGTTTCACCCCCTCAAGGACAGACCTGTTTGTTCTCTTGGTGGTCCACGGTATGTTCTTTACTCTTCTCTAGCACCACAACTCAAAGGCATCGACTATCCCTTTTTAAATGATGTACCTATTTTTGTGCTACCAATCATATGGACCAATCTTATGCTACCAATCAAATGGACCAGGTGTTCAGTGAGTGTCTTTCTCTTTCTCCCAGCAGTATGCCATCAGGTCAAGTTGGGTATGGCATGGTTGTGTTCACGTGTGTGTGTGTGTGTGTGTGTGTGTGTGTGTGTGTGTG